AAAAAAAAAAAAAAAAAAAAAAAAAACATCAGAGAGTCGAGAATAGAATAAAGCTCAAATAATTGGATTAATAGTTGGGTATTCAACTTCATTTTTAAAGAGAGTGGTGTGAATGCACTTTAACTCGTGAACCAAGCAAAAAAAAATATTTACAATGAAATTTTACATTTCACGCTGAGGTATATCTACAGTGTCAGGAAACACAACAAAATTCAGAAAGTGCAACTGACAAAAAAGATTTGGCATAAAAATGCTTCCCCTTCATGTTCCACAGAAAATAATTTTTCTTGATTCGAAGACTCACTTACAATATCCATCTCATGGTCACAAATAAACGATCCAATTTTTAAATGCAAGTTAAATTTTTCCAGTCTTTAAGAACTCAATTGAGAAAAATCAAACAATTACTCCATAACTGAACGAACTTTATTTTGAACACTGGTGCCAGAGTACTGACAATCAGTATAAGTACATTTTCAAAATCAGCGGTCTAACACAATTATCCTTTGAACTAATGAAGAAATTAATAGAAACTCTATGATAGGGGGGGAAAGGACCAAACTAAATCAGCAATGGTTCAAAATTAAAAACAAAATCTCAAATTCGCACTTAGTTAGACGTGAATTTGGAACTCATCTGAAGGTCCTCAACCTACAAGTTCGGTAAGAAAATTTCTTTTAGATGTTATTTCTAATGTAATAATGTGTAGAACGAATCCACCAACCTAACCTCAAACTCTCAACCAGACGAACGAAACTGGCAATTAGGTGGTTCACAAGGCGAAATTCTGTGTGCATACAAAATAGATTTGATATTATCGTTAATGCGGCTTCTTCGTGTGCATTAACAAAATAATTTTGTTATTATTCTTCCTCCGATATTAACTTCAGTTGGAATGCATATTTATAGTTCAAGGGTTTGGTTCTAGAGCGGAAATTTTGAAATTGCATCTTAATGAAGCTATAGCTTCCTAACTATCCAAAAAAGTATCAACGAACAGTTGGGTTTCTTTGTTGAAACAGGAAAAGAATAGGTCAATTTATGTTAAGGATATTTAGTAATAAATTATAGTTTACCATATATATACTATATTTGATATTTTATTATAAGGCAAATAAATATTTGCCTTATTATTATAGGTATCTTTCCATTTATTGTTATTTCCATTTATTACTATTTCCATATCCTTGTAATTCATTTGATTATAAATAAGATAACTTTCACACCATTTAGGTGGTGTGGTGGATTAATCAAACATTCACAATTTATAATCTAATTAAAGCCATAAAAAGAACACAGCCGATGCGGAGAGTTCAATCTGAATTAAAATCACACAAATACACATGTTCTTTCTTGAAACATTGTGAGGGTTTACGTTAAAGTGGAAAAAACGCACCTAGTATCAGAAAACTGGGAGGGTGCAAGATCATGCAAACTGTGGAAGCTGAAACAGAGGCAAATGCGGCCAAAACCCCTCGAGAAATCCAAGCTACAGAGCGAGCGAGAGATGGTTCTATAAGAGATGATTGACGAGCGCGAAAGATAGGTAGATGAGGAGAAGGAGATACAGTGTTTACAGAGAAAGAGAGACACCAATGGCAACCAACAGAAGAGAAGTGGGATTGGGATGGAAGGGAAGTGCAGAGGGCTGCAGCAATATATCAAGACAGAAAAGGGAGGGAGCCGGGGGCGGGGGCGGGCTTTATGTATTTTTTATAAATGTGAAAAATATTCAAAGAAATTATGATAAAACATTGTGAGATCTCATTTAAACCTTCCTCCTTCGAGAATGGAAACTTCTCCTCGGTGTGTTTTTAAAATGACGAGATTAACGGTCATAAATAACGGGTAAAAACAAAATTTACTAGCTGAATCAAAACTGACAATATCAAATATCAAATGGTGGTGGTCTATTATAATTTGTATCAAAGGGACGGGAACTGGCCTCCAATAGGGGTGAATTGTGAGATCGAATAGGAAAGCAAATTGTGATACATAACATAAGGTCGTAAAGGGGTACAAATTGTATCAAAAATTAGACATCGAACCATGTGACGACGAAGATGCTTGTCTCTAAAGGGTGGATTGTAAGATAGGAAAGGGGAACAGAAGGTGATATATAACGGGTTAAGGCGGACAATAACATGATCCCACTTTAATTAAAGTACTTATCTTCTTCCTTTGTTGATTCAGATTTTCCCCCTCAAAACATTGTCAACTTTTATTAATTTTTAACTGTATCATTAAGCTTAATTTGATACGAGGAATATTAACTAAAATATCTCTCTCGACCAAGAAGACGACAAGAACATGGTTTTATTCCAAAATGATAACAATAAAGAACTTTGGTTTCAATCAAACGGCCTCTCTTCAGCTTCATCATCTTCACCATCACCAAGCTTGTTGTAATTGTGCAATCTGCTCATCACAGCCAGCCCTGAGACCAACAACATAAAAGGGATAAATCAAAAAAATTCATTCAAAAACAGCTTCATGTCAAATATTGATAGTAAACGAGCTTCAAACCAGAAAAAGAAATGGACACACCAATGCAAGCATACCTTCAATTGTTCGGTAGAAAGACGACCACCAACCGTATCTAGGAATCGAGTCTCTAGTTAGTACTTCGTCGATTAGTCCATCGTGTTTCCCCTCCAAAACTCCATGCAGCGTTAGAACTGCATCTTTTGCTTTCCCAATGATATCATTCCCATAAACAGTATCAATGTCTGGCCTTCTGAGATCATTTTGAGAGGCAGCAAGACTTCTGGACAGAGCAAATTGAGCAGCAGTCATCCAGTGGGTTTTTGCTAGCCATCTCCCATGACCATTCTGAAGTAACTGGTTTTCATCACGTGGATTGGTCTCTTCTTTTCCAAGAACTAAGCTGCATAAGTACTGGGCATTTGCAGGCCCTGTACTTTGAACCATTCTATAGAAAGCGCTTTCTTCATTTGAAAGCAGCTTTTCAGGGGCATCATATTCTATGACCTGCATGAAAATTGGTAGTTCTGATATAAGTGAGCAACAATGGCATAGCCACTAGCACGAACTGTGCACTCATCAACCAAAAACTGAGGCATACCTGACCCTTATCCAACACGAGAATCCGATCACAGTCAATAATCGTGTTTAACCGATGAGCAATTATCAGCATAGTGCATGATTTGAACTCCTCACGGATGGTTTTCTGTATCAGAGAGTCTGTGTTAACATCAACAGCTGCCGTTGCTTCATCAAGAACAATTATCTTTGATCTTCTCAACAACGCTCTAGCAAGGCTTATCAGTTGCCTTTGTCCAACGCTGAAATTTTCTCCTCCTTCCGAAACCTTCAAACAAGTATAAACTTGTACTTAAGTTTTATTCGACATAATCTAAAGTTGGCATAGCTTCTTACCTCAGAATCCAAGCCAAAAGAGCTTCTCATAATTACATCCTTAAGATGTGCTCTCTCAAGAGCCTCCCACAAGTCAGCATCATTATGTTCACAGAACGGATCGAGATTAAAACGTACAGTTCCTAAACAAACGATAGATGGATGAATAGATTGAATTCAAGAGAAGATTTAGAAGTCTACTCAAAGCATACCTGAAAAAAGAATTGGTGATTGAGGTATAACAGTTAGAGATTTCCGCAAATCTGTTAGCCCAACCTTAGCAATGTCATAGCCATCAATTGTTATTCGTCCTAGTTCGATCTCTACAATTCGAAATAATGCATTCAACATGCTTGATTTTCCTGCACCAGTTCTTCCAACTATTCCTAGCTTGTCAGTTGGTAAAATATTAAAGGATAGCCCATGCAAGACTGGAGGAAGTCCAGGCCTATAACGTAAGACAACATCCTCAAAATGAATCGATCCAGATGAAGGCCAACCAGAAGGGGGGCGGTTATACTCGATTATAGCTGGAGCCTCTGAAGGCAAATCGATGTATATGCCAACACGTTCAACAGCGTTTAAACCATTTTCAGCCCTACTTGCTTGTCTTAGAACACCACTTAACAAGTTTGTGATGTTTAGGGTATAACTTAAAAGTAATCCCATCGTAGATGCAAAGGCCACCTGGTTTTCTTCTCTTGCATTCTGCAAGACAGCAAAAGTTGCTGTCAACCAGATCATAAGGCCTCCTAATGTTTCCAACCTTATTGTGAGCCAGCGATTCGAACTGATATTTGCAAGAGTAAACCTGATGTTATTATCCACGAACCTCCCGTTGATGCTTTCCATTCGATCATATGCCTTGTATGCACGAATAGTTGACAGACCATTTAACGCTTCCCCAAATTGAGCATACACCGGAGATCTAGTAATCGAATCCAAGCGTTTGACTTCACGTGAGGTACTCTTAAAGAAGTATGTGATGCAATTCAGTTTCTCCTCCATAGTTTATTGACAAAAAGGAACAGTATAAAAGTTGTTAACATCATACCTGATAATATAAATAGGCTGCATAAAACACAATCAATAGCGGCGTAATGGCCCATAGGGAGATTGGGCTCACAAGACCTATTAGAACAAAAGTTGACAGTAGTTGCCACAGTTGTCCAAGAAACGCACTCATAATATTGGCAAGAGTACGATCAATGTCTCCAAGATCTTTGGCAAACCTATTGATAATTCGTCCAATTGGATTGGTATGGAAGAACACCATTGGAGCTCTTAGAATTGAATTTAGCATGAAATCGTGCAATTTTCTAGACGCACGAAGGCTTGAAATGATTAACCAATAAGAGTTTGCTAGTGTAAAGGTCACCTAGAAGGAAACAAACAGAACAACTCTCAGACAAGGAGAAAGCACACATCATCATGTCCAATTATTTGGATGAAAAGAATATCTCGATGCCGAAAACATGGTAGTTTCCGAAATACATAAATATTGTAGAGGTAAGCTGTGTCAACAAATTCTATCAGGACTTACTCACCTGGCCAAAGGACAACGCTGTATAGATGAGATTGTAGTATCCAGCGTTATAATTTTCTGAAGTGCTTTTCTTTGTCCAAAAGCTTAACCATGTGCTAGTCGAAACTCGAAGGACTTCTATCAGCAGATAAAATGAAAAGAGTACGATAACTACCCAAGTACCTCCTAATGCATCCTTATACCTACACATACAACAAAGTTGCCATAAGTGTCGAACAAAGAAGTTGTGAGCCTCAAATGTGTAGTCAAAAGTGACTCAAGTATCAAACAAAGGGTGTACTTTGTTCAAGAACTCCAGAGAATGAGGCAAGCCTCGATTAAGGGGAGGCTATTTGAGGGCTCCATAGGCCTCAGAGGAGGCTCTATGGTGTAGTTTGTTTGGGGGGAGGATTGTTGGGAGGGAGTCCCACATTGACTAATTAAGGGAATGATCATGGGTTTATAAGATACATCTCTATTGAAATGAGGCCTTTTGGGAAAACCAAATGTAAACCCATGAGAGCTTATGTTCAAAGTGGACAATATCATATCATTATGGATGTTCGTGATCCTAAGAAAGAGTGCTTCTTTGTATCATTGATTTTGGCGTTTCTGTTTTTTAGTTTTAAGCATACAAATTCATTTTGAAGCATGAATTTCCTGTAAGTTGATGTCTTACCTCATTAACACCTTCCAACTTACTACTCCTGTCTCTCTCTCCTCCTTCTTGATTAGTACAGAGTTCTTTCCTTTCCGTTTTCTTGCATAACTTGTGTCTTCTGGAAATTTATTCCCGAGTCCACCATTAGGAGGCATCGGACTTTCTTGGTAATGGTGTTTATTGTATTGTTTTTCTTCCATTTGTTCTTCCAGTTTCCCGGCATTTTCCATTAGCTTCTGGAAATGTTTGCTGTTTCTGGAGAGTTTCTCAAAGGTTCCTTCCTCTATAACAATGCCTTCGGAAATCAGAATAATTTTGTCGACCTGGGGAAGAAAATGTAATTGGTTTGTGACAAGCACCCTGGTTTTCCCTCCCAACTCTTCCTTGATACATCTGTTAAAAACCTGAAATACATTTTCACATTAGACCTCCTACATATGAGCTCCAGACATTACAAACTTTTGTCGATTTTCAGCAGTGGATATAGTAAGACCTAAACTTAAATCAGAAAATAATATGAAGAAAACAAAATAGAGTTGATAGTTTTGGAACCCAAATGAAGAACTAAAACAAATGTTATTCAAGGAAATTTAGGCAAGCAGCATACCTGCTGACCAACATGAGCATCTAGAGCACTTAAAGGATCATCAAAAATGTAAACATCAGAATTCGAATATACAGCTCTAGCCATAGAAACTCGTTGTCTTTGACCACCACTTATGTTTACACCTCTTTCACCAATCTCGGTGTGATCACGACCCTGACAATTAAGTTTGTGAGGAAAATTGTTAAAGCATTCAATTTAAATAAGCATCTCTACGTAGGTAACTTTCAAAACCACTTTACAGGAAGCAATTCAAGATCATGTTGCAAGGAAGTGACATCAATGGCCTTCCAATAACGGTTTGATTCAAACTCCGATCCGAATAATATATTGTCACGAACCTAGCAGAAAACATTTGTAAATCAGAAGGGCTAGAGTTAGGAAGAAATGAGGGTTATAGTTAGGAAGAAAGGAATTGTGACTCACAGTGGCATTGAAAATCCATGACACCTGAGGAACATAAGCCACTGTCCCTCTGACAACAATGTTTGTGTCTGCCAAGGGAGGCAGCTCCCCTAGCATTGCCATTATAAGTGACGTTTTTCCTTCGCCAGTACCTCCAACCACTGCAACTAAGCTGCCAACTTCTATATGCAAATTGACATTAGATAATGTCGGCTTCTCTACCTGCAAAAAGGTTACATTTCACAGCCGCTACTCTCAGATGACAACCTCATAGCACAGAAGAAGATATATATATATTTTTGAACAAGATACAAATAAGCATACTCTCAAGTCAATGTGACACATAAAGATGCTATAAATTACACTCTGAAACAAAAATACAGTCATGTTTTCTATCATTTCTACCTGAAATTTGTTTTTCTTGTCTGCAAACGGGCATTCTTGGAGCTTTATGCGTAGTTTTTCATATTATCATAGAAAAGCATAGTTTCATTTCGAAAAATAAAAAACTTTCCAACTTAAAAGGTCTTCTTAACCATGTTGTCAAATTCAATGTCATCTTTATCCGGATTAGAAGAGCCAACATTCTTGCTGTAACGGCATAAAAAGAAAAAAATGGGCCTACAAAAGATGTCAGGTTCATCTGTTTACCAGCATGTCTAATTCAAATTGCATATAGATGAAGTTATAGACCCGTGTATTGAAGAAGAAACAAATATCATATAAATATCATGTATATGAGGGTATACAGAATGCCAATAAAAAACCTTGGAATCCCATGAAAAACATCCATTTTTTATGGATATTGCTGGAAGCCCAGGTTCCAGCGGTGGATTTGGGGCAAGAATTCTCTCTTCAGTCAAGAAGAGTTCCTCCATACGCTGTAATGATACATGTGCATTTACAACCTGTACTATTAGAGTAGAATTAGAAAGTGAATAGCCTTTCTTTCTTTCAGAATAAAAAATTATGTTATATGAAATATGAACAATAAATTTCTTACACAACTCATATCCTCTAAACTTCTTATTCAGATAAGGTCTAGTAAGAAATATTTTATCAAAATAAAACGGAAAAATACAAGTGCAGTAGAAATGATTGAGTACCTGACTTAATAAATTAGGAAGCATGTTTAGAGGAGAACGAAGCACTGCAAACAGGGAAAGTGATGTAAAGGCCCTTGCAGGAGTCAGATCTCCACCAAGCAATGTGAATACCCCAAAGGAAATTACAGTTACAAACACTGGGAGGCTATTCATAATAAAACCGTTTAACTGCAATAGATGAAGTTTGGTCAGAAACGCAAAGAAAAGGAGGATGAACTTTTGGTTTTCCCAAAATGCCTCATACCAATTTACTTGTAAACTCATGATCATCCCCTTACTTATCCAATGTGAGACTCTCTCCCAACAATTCTCAACAATTTAAACGTAAAATTTTTACATCATTTGTAGTTAGTGTTGGACACTTGTTTTTTGGTTTTTCCCTTGTATTCTTTCATTTTTTTCAACGGAAGTTTGGTATCTAACCAATAAAAAAAAAAATAAGAAAGCATGTCTGATGGCAATACCGCATAAAGTAATTGTGCCTTACGAAACCACGAGAGCTCATCATTCCTTATTTCTTGAACTCTGGATGAAAAGCTTGCTTCCCATGCATAGCATCTGAAATATTTTTGAGCTTGGTGTCAAGAAAGCAGAGATGTATTGAACTTGTAAGCTTATCAGACAAATTTAACCATACTTCACAGTGTCCATGGCTGCTAAAATTTCATTTGTGAGTTCAACCCTTTTATCTGTCCCCTGAAGTCCCTTCTTTGTTTGTTTTCGCATTTTACTAAAAATTACAGTCTGCATAGGCAAATGACACATTCCAATTAGATAAGATAAGTTATAAAGGTAAATTTAGTGACAAGATTGTGAATTTTACTAACAACTACATTACCTGCATAGGAACCGTCAAGACTAGAGTTAAAGCCCCAAAAAGTGAAGCAACACCCAATTGCTGGTATAGAAGAATCATTGACATGATAATACGAAATGGGGCAGACCATATCCCATGAAGCTGTTGACATATTTGCTGAACAAAAGTTTTAGGAAATTAGTAACGGCTCTTTTTTATCAAGTTACAAGGATCACCTAATATTTTTCAAGACGTACAGTGATAGAAATTGTGAGCTAACTAATAGATCTTAGATAACACACAGGATTCCTTTTTGTCAAGTTTATTCTAAGGTAGATACTGTATGTAAAATGCCAGGGGTGTCCGTGCCTACTTGAAGGGCGTTAGCATCTGTTGATATCATATTTGTAATTTTCCCATATGGGAAATTCTTGCGCCCCTCATGAGTCAATCTGAGTGATTTGCGAAAAATAGCAGCCACCTGCAATTAAGAAAACAAATAACATTTGTCAATAAAAGATTAAAAGGAGCACATTTGTTTTTAAGAGACCCACAGCCTCCGATTCAGATGAAAATTTAAACGTAACTTAAATTTGTTTGATAAAGTAGCTACTATAGAAAGACTGTTTACCAGAGTAGACCTGAGTTGAAAACCAACTCGCATAACATTCTGATAGTACTGAGCTTCGCATAGCACTCCAGATGACTGAATAAATAATATTTAAGTAGTCATTTGCTCAAGGCATTCAAAAAATGGAGCAAATAAACATTATATGTTTTTAAAAAGTGGATATGAGAAGGCATACCACACCAACGAAAATTGCGAATGCATACACGAAACCAATCCAAGTTGGATCTCCCCGTTGCATCGACTGCAATACAAGAAACATATGAACTTTGAAACTTCCATGATCCAAACACAGCCCATCAACACTTTGTTTCAAGAGATAAAAGATAAAACATGTCTCCTACAATCGAAGTTCTATTTATAAATTTAAAAAAAAAAAAAAAAAAAAAAAAGTGTCTGGATCCACACTGACAATTTGTTCTTACTTTAGTAAGTAATATATCGTTTCCTCTTTACAGTATCCTTTTATGTTTAAATATGAAAATAAAAGCAGATTATTCTGTCAAACATGGTATTAGAGTGGGTACTCTGAAAAAGGATTTTCCCTTTCCATCGACCTTCTTCACTTAAGTGTCGATTCATTTATCTTCACAAATACACACAAGAAAAGACACTCCTGTAGGAGGCAGGTAGCCAATGCACAATTTATCATGCAAATCATGGTTAGAAGAAGTTAAAAAAAAAATCCTACTAACCTGTAATAAATGGTTCAATATTATCGGCCCAACAAACTGAGAGAGGTCATTGCCAACCTGCCAGATTTGCATGGTCAGACCTGAAAATGACTTTTTTTCTAAACAATATACGAGTTTTTATTGATTAAATGAATGAACAATAATGTCCAAGGATACAAACTCCTCAAGGAGTGAAAATGAAAGAAAAAAAAGAGCTATCTAAGTAGAGACAATAAGCACATCCCATTTCAAACAAAGAAGGCTAGAAGAGCAATGCTCAAGGATAGGATGTCTCATTGGCATTAAAAGAAAAATTCAATATCAATCCAAACTGAAATATAAATGCTATATTTTCCATGAAGATCTGTAGCTCCAACCTGACAAACGAAAAAACATGGAAATACAGGAAGAAAATAATTTATTTAGTCTTGATCAAGTCACTGACTCACTCCAAAGCAATCTACATGACTGGGCTAATTGAGATAAATAGTATTAAAACCTGGATATATAATGAAAGAAAATGTCTTACGAATTTCATAGAAGACAATAAATTAATGTTTGCAAGGAGGAATAAAAAAACAGAAGACAGGGGAAGGAAAATTTATAGGTTACCTTGAAAAAACCTCCCAACCAGAACCTAGTAAAAAATTTGAAGAGTAGCAAACAAAATGAGATAAGAAACAGTGACAAAGTAATATAAATCTTAGTAACTGCTAATCAAGATTAGACAAAATGTGTAAATCGAAGCACAAAAAAAGCAGGCGTTGTATGCACCTTCTTCCGAGGCTTCGATTCAATGCTCTTAAGAGCCAAGGCTTAGGCATTTGAACTTCTGCAGCCCAGCATCTCTGGAACCTTCAGAAGTAAGAACATTCTTAACAACTGAATTATTAGATATGGAGAAAGAAAAGAAGCAAACAAATTAATAATCATAAAGAAAACCTTCCAATTAGTGTCTCGGTTCGATCCCAGACGTCCAACCTCCAAATATCCTTTTCGGCTATAGGTTTTCGATAGCCCTGCTTCATAAGTGGAGTCACCCACCCAAAATATATTCCTACCACATTGAACCAAAGCTAGTTTTCTGAGTAAATAACTATCATTTCACAATTACTTTCTGGAGTTTCATTTGTTCATTCTTAAGAACTTCATCCTGAAAAACATTATAGCATGAAAAACATGTTTGATTATTTTTAGAAGATGTTGATGTACTTGAGGCTACATATATTTTAATTTCTACACCTCATAAAGCACCAATTGGTCCAAGATATACAAAATTTGGAAGGATTTTTTAAGTTGTTTCTTTGATAATATGAAAAGAAAATGATTCAGATTAATAGGCTTAGTTTAAAAATTACTTACTAGAAAAGAGATTAGCGTGCCTCTCGGGACAGACATGCTCTTCTCCCGGAAGTGTTTCATAGTCCATGTTGTCAACATACTCAGATTGCATGACAACATAACCAGGATATGGTTCCAAATTAGGGACATAAGCAAGAAGAAGTACTGCAAAAAGCACCTGCATTACAAGAATAGCTATTTATTTGACTTGAATAGAACTGGAGTGCGAGCCCTCATTTGCAACAAAAAATTATACTATTGTGGGTACACATCAAATAAAACCAAATGGGTCTTAACAATTATCACCAAAGATTTTTTTGTGCTCTACTTCAATTGTTCGATAGAACAGTAAGAAATATGCACGAATTCTTGTTAAAAAAAAGCAAGATGTATTAATAGCCAGCTTTTCTTTTTTTTTTTTTTAATGACAAAATTTTTGAATACTGACCGAGAAAGAGATTCAATTCGCATGAGACCTTTTGCAAAATTCAAAAGCAAAACCATGAGAGTTTATACTCAAAATGGATAATATCATACCAGTGTGGAGGGTCATTGTTCCTAACATGATATTAGAGCAATATCATTATCTTAACTTAGTCATGTCAATAGAATCGTTAAGTGTCGAACAAAGAAGTTGTGAGCCTCGAAGGTGCAATCATAGTGACTCAGGTGTCGAACAAAGGGTGTATTTTGTTTAAGGGCTTAAGAGAAGAAGCGAACCTCAATTAAGATGAGGTTGTTCAAGGGTTCTAGAGAAGGAGACACTCAAGTGTCGAACAAAAGGTGTACTTTGTTCGAGAGCTCTAAAGAAGGAGGCTTCAAGGGAGGCTGTATGATATACTTTGTTCGAGGGGTGGATTGTTGGGGTCCCACATTAGCTAATTAAGAGAAGATCATATTTGCCTATGAAAAAGTACGAGAAAATGGAAATATCACCCTCTCATAAACTTTTTTTTTTTTTTTTCCCTTAATGATCAACATCTCATAAATGTCTCGTCTCTTTTCATTTTAAGTGATTGCACTAGCTATACGCTTGTCATATGGTATGATATTGCCTACTTTGAGCATAAACTCTCATGGTTTTGCTTTTAGTTTTTCCAAAAGGCTTGATACCAAAAGAGATGTATTTCTTACTTATAAACCCATGATCAACCCCTTAATTAGCCGATGTGGAACTCCTCCCTCAACAATTCTCAACCGAAGTATGGTACTATTACCCCGGCTAAAAGTACCAAAAAGGATACAAAGTCCCTACCAGCCACAATGCTCCTCTTTCCTAGAAACTAGAGATCAAGCATTACTACCAACAAATCCCTACAGTTTCGTGGACAGTGCTATATGCTTATGATGGGGGAAAACATAATGAAAATAGTAAACAATGAATTTACGGATGCATTTTTTAAGAGAAAGCTTAATAAAGAAAAATATACCTGACCTCACAAGAAACGAACTAACCTGGAAAGAAAATGTGGTGATGATCATACAGAGATCTGCACTGTATGGGGAAATTGATTAAAAAAAACAAAAGTAAAAGGAAAGAACAAAAATAATCATTGTAGTACTATCAAGAGAATGAAAAGCAATGAATTGAGAATTCAAATGAGTAAATACAAATTGGAAAGATAATTCATATAACTAAACAGGATAGACTGACCAACCTACCATCACTCTCTACATACACGTATCAAATGAGTAAATACAAATTGAAAAGATAATTCATATAACTAAACACGATAGACTGACCAACCTACAATCACTCTCTACATACACGTATAATTGTAATAAATGAAAAATTGCCTGAGGCACTGTGCCTAAAGTTCTATTTAGGAGAGGTTTCTACCCCTTATAAAAAATGTTTCGTTCTCCTCTCAACCAACGTGGAATCTCACCATTTTTCTTTTGATTAAAGACATCCTTTTCATCTTAGTAAGCAAGAAGAAGAAGGAGGAGGAAGGAGGGAAAAAAAAAGTACTAGACAGGAATATTACAAATAAAAGGGAAAGTTAAATGTAAGAAACTAACCTGCTATAGTAATCTGAAAGTGGGAGTACAAGATTTAATAGCACAACATCCCCTACCATAACATAGATTAGTCCAAATCGTATGTACCAACGGAATTCACGGATATAAATTTTAGTCTCCACAACAATCATCACTAACACCGAGCACCAAGAAAGAGACTCCACGATTGAGCAAATCACCTAAAGCACGAACAAAAATCAACCCATTTATTCAAATCAAACAATGCTACAAGAGCAAATCGTACTGCATTTAGTATTTAATGCAAAAATTATCGACTACGAAGTTTCTCTATAAGTTCAAAATTTTATATCTTGAACTCTAAGTACGAATCCTACTAAAACCTCTGAATTCTTAGTGGGGAAGATTAATGATGTTCCATTTAAACCTAAAAAGAAAAGCAACCCATGAAACATATATGAAAATTAGGTGTACCTCAAAAGGAGCAAAGCCAGTCTGATCGTCAAGGCTAAAAATCGCTATACCCATGGATAACCTTAGTAAAGGCACAACAAAACAACAACCAGCAATCACAGCAAGCATGTAATTATAACAATTAGAGGTCAAACGAAACCTCTTCACTTTAGCATCCTTCAAAATCAGCCACGTTCTGTAGAAGCAAAGCCCAAGAAGTACCAAATGACAAGAAGATACCACTAGAGAGTCAATTGCACAAGGTGTGTACGACCCGAAGGCACTATCAACTGCTTTTGCCCATATACTATTTGCCACCGGCTGGCAGAACCAATCCAAGGCCTCAAAAGGCATATTTCCTCCTTGTAGTTCGAAATGTTGCAAATTCGTGGAGTTTTGAGCTCAGTATCGATCTATTATTTTACCATCAACGCTCCACCCAATGTACTTCCTAAAACAGGAAAACACATATTCAACATTTAAGACCAAAAACTAGAAAGCCCGTGATATGAATTTTCAATTCAAGAAACATCGGGAATCCACTGCATTAAAGAATTCCTTCAACAAACAGTACAAACAAAGCAATACCCATCTCCATATTTCACGCACCAAAGTCAAAGAGCAGCTTCAATATAGCGATATGAATCAATTATAAAAGTTCCGTGCAAGAACAGCAATAGAATCACTCGGAACATCTGACATGACGCGATATTACCAAACTCAATTCATAATTTAGTAAAAGACTAGAAGATCAACTCACTTGCATTCATGGTCTATCCATATAAAGACTTGCAAGCTCTCTCTGGGGAGGCGGGAGAGCTTGAAATACGTTGAGAACAAAAAACGGAACCAAATAAGGAATGGACAGTGAAAATGCAGTTAAGGTGGATAGAAACAGTGTTGCAAGCGTCACGGCTTACGAAGAAGATTCGCAGTGATAATGAAAAGAAATGGATCTAATCCACAAACATCCAATGGAAAGATTAAAACTAAGCATCATCGCAGAGGTCGAGTAAGAAAGTCCACACTCGTGACCCACGTCTTCGGCGAATAATGGTAACAAGACAGAGGCATACCGCCAACGAAAAAAAGAATGTGTTGTTTTTTCCACGAGTTTTAAAATTCATCGAATTATGAATCCCTGGTGTATATATGCCCACATGCTTCAGATTTCTTCAATACCATAAATAAAATAAATAAATTATAATTTTGGTTATTTAAATTCAACTTATAATTAAAAAAATAGAAAAGGACATTTCACCTTATATATATATATATATATATAGATATATATATAGAGAGAGAGAGGTATATAGGAGGCACATACCTAAGATGTATACGAGGTATTTATTTTAAGAAGACTAAATTTATTAAAATAGCGTGTTCCGATAATATTAATTGTGATAGATGGCGAATCAATGACCAAATTTTTCAAAAAGTTGAAAAATAATAGACAAACAAACTCGAGAAATCCAACTATGGTACTTGAGTCATAGCCCAAAACTCAATGCCTGTCTAGTGTCTACGAGCTAAAATACTTTCCTAAATTTTTCATTCTCAGTATATTTATTACGTGATTTTAAAAAGTGTCAAATAAATCTTAAAATTATCTAAGAATTTCTTATTTTTTAAAATTTTTTTATTAAAATTTCATTGACTTTAATACGAGCATACTCATCCGATCAAGAGCGTGTTGCCATAGGTAACAATCATTTAAATATCTCTATAATAATATAACTTTGAGACTTTTATTTTCACCCATTAATGTTATTTACTAATATACCTATAAATTTTATCTTTTATAACTAATGCTTTTTATTCGTACTTCCAACGCATCAAATGTATTAAATTTACGTATTACTCGACTAATAACAATGATGAAATTTATTGCGATGTATGATCTCACAATAAATAAATATATATATATATATTTTGGTCTAAAAAACAAATATACAGTTGTTTAAGACTCTGGAAAGGAGTGTTAATGTAGGTATACTTAGGTCCAATAAATAAATGAATAAGGGAAAATATTGAAAACTCAATTATTTGTTAAACAGTTGGAAGATTTTAAAATTATATAAAGTTTATGACAAAATTGTAAGTTGAGAGGAAGTGGAGTTGTAATTTAATATTCTGAGTCATATATAAAATCAAAATGGCAAAGACAGCTTTAGATTGAACAGCAGAATCGTACGTTTTGATTTAAAAACAGACAAAAAAAAAAGAGGATGATTTCTACAGGGAACCAATGCTCTTAAGCCCAAGAACAACACCGACGCCGATGATGTGCCCCACGCTGCCACATGCCAAAGTATCAGCCAGGGTGAAACCTGCTGGGTCGCCCGTCTGTAACCCAGACTCCCTCGCCTCCAGCTTCAGCCCCGCCGTTGATTTCCTGTTTGCGGATGGAGCCAATCCGAACCGTCCAGCGAACAGCATCAGGCTTGTCGATATAACCATTATCTGTTTTCATCGTCCGTTATTTTATGCCATTTGTTCTGCTCCTTGATTTTATTACCAACAGATTATCTTAAATTGAAACAAGTGTTACAATATTCATTATTGAATGAATTTCTGTTAATCCACCCATTAATTTCAACCATATATATATATATATATATATACAGTTTTAGTTTGTTTATAGACTCCTCCATTCTAATCAGATTAATTTTTCTACGCATAAACTAGTCATCTAACTTTTAGTTTCTATTTTTTAGTGATAGTAATACAAATTTTTGAAATTATGAAAGAAAGAAGGAAATCGAAAACAGAGAAAATAATTTAGAGAGTAAGATGAGTAGTAGAAATTTAGAGTTACCAGGTTGGTGGGTGAGCCAATGTAATCACCACAACGAGCACTGAGAGCGCCGCCGCCCCTCCGCCTCAGCGGTTGCACTGCCACCTGCAAAATCAAACCCATTACAGCTATTCCGATCATTCAAAGCCGACGGCTACGGCGGCGAAGGGGACTTACCAGGCTGCGAACCGGAGCCACCGAAACAGTGGGCCTGAGCCCAGTAAACTGAGGGATCGAAGTCATCATGGTAGTGGCCATTTTCTTGCTGCTAATTACGACAAGTTTTTCGCCTACGGATGTTTGTTTGTTTGAAGGATATATGGGTTTAAGAGGAAGAGAATGAGAGGATGTACTAATTCGACATCCACTCAGCCACAGGGCCTAAATGATTGGTGGATTTGGATACAGTTTTAGATCCTGCTTGCTTACGTGGCTTTGTTCTATTGGATTTCTCTCAAGGGATAAGGTTTTGGGTAGGCGTGGGCCAACAGTGTCCGAAGTTTACACAGAAAATGGGGAGAACGGCAATTTCGAAACTGATTCCCTCACCTGAGATGTTAAAGGGAGTTTTGTAAGTTGATCTGAGCTGCAACAAAGTAAATATATAGGAATTCATGGAAGATAAAACATGTGGAGGGAAAATTAGATTTACATGCAGGGCATGTGGATTACACAAACCATCGGAGCAAACATCCAATTTCATATGCTACACTGGGTTGAACATCAAATATCAGTGCTAAGGGTAGAAGTATCTTAAATTGAAACAAGTGTTTCATAATTGCTAGGGTTTTGGCAAACGACACCAAAAATAGAAAGTATCCTCATGACTTCCGTTTTATCCTATTCATATGAATACAAGACACCGATCGTGATTTCATCTACTGCTATAAGTTAAAGCAAGGTAAAGATTATATCCATAAAAATTGTAATCTATTGTCTATACTGCATTATGAATGGTGGTTCAAGTTCAATTTTGGTCCAAAACTTCACAATTACTAGTCCAGGTTCCAGTTGAAGCTAAGAATCAAGATTTCATTCAACATAAATCTTGAGTGCCATGCCATCCCATAGGCTTGCATCAAATCACATGTACTTGATCTGAAATAAAGTATGGAAATGAGCCTATCCGATTTAAATTGCATGCATTACAGAAACATAACATCATGGCAGTACAGGCTTTAGCAGAATCATGGACATGATGTCTGCAGGCGACTCAAGCCAGTTCCTCGCTACCTCTTCCGAGGTGGGGTTGGAGTCCATGGGAGTAGAAACAATTGAAACAGGAGCCTGTGTTTTTGTTGGGGAAAGTTGAGAAGAACAGAGATGGAAATTGCGATGATGACATTTTATAGTTTGGTTTCGTTTACAGAGGCCAGCGTTAGTTTTCTATTTTCTAAAATTGTATTTGTTCCCTCCAAATTTTCGTGTAATTTTTTTTAATAGCTTTTGAAGGGTTGTAATTTACGCAAAATTATCAAAGAACTATCATTTTTTTTTATTTATTTTTTTTTTTGTATGAAAACATTTAAAAAAAAAAATCAAAATTCAAAACAAAGGTTGGGGTGCATCCCATTCTTCAAGCTCGTTAATGGAATTTGTTTAAATCTAATTTAAATTTTAGGAAACATTTGGAAGTTATGAGATTTAAATCTCTACAATATTATATAATTTAACATATAACATATTAAATTCTTAAAGAGAACAAATTACAAATTATAAGATAAAATTGTTATTTTAACCCAAATTATTCTTATTTAAAAAGAATAAAGAATAAATAATAACTACAACTTTGATGGAGAAACAAGAATTATCCGATCAAGGGAAAAAAAGAAAACATGAATGATGAATCTACAGAAACACGATGGCAATTAGAGAAGCAAAGAACACTGAATAGATACAAGATCTGTATGACCTGGTTTATGATATAACATCATTTTAGCTTGACATGTTTGGTTTGGCCATTCTCAAGAAATAAGCATTACTGACTGAGTGATTGTATTTAGACAGTGCTAGAGTTCTTTAGGGAAAATATACATACATGGGTCGACGAGTTACTCCACAAGGCTTCTTAATTTACTGCTTGCAATCGAGTTTAAAAGCCACAAATTTGTTGCAACTTTGGCTGCGGCCGACTCAGCAAGCAATTCGGCATTCGATCGCCTGCGATTGAGAATCTCATTCTTTTCACCTGGATTGCATTGATCAGGAAGCTCAAGACTGTAAATGATGAAAACTTGGCAGTTAGGTGAAGAACAAGAGCTGCTTTGGTTGTTGCTTGAAACTGGTTTTCTAAGCAGAATAGTTCCTCCTGCTGCAGTTGCAAGTTGTTGGAGATATCCTTTGTATGAAGGTAAGAAATCTGATGTAAAGAAGAACTTGAACCCAGAAAAGACTTTTGGTTGCTGCAAAGAGAAGACCACAACTGTTAAAACACAATTTTACAATCACCTCACCTATTCAACTTGGATTCACTTATTAGTGCAGATGAGTTCAGCTCTTCAGTTTTTTCCATTTGAATATTAACTTTTCATGTCAGTTTACATGGAAGCAAACTAAGACTAGCAAAGAAAAGAGTATTAGATTGTTGGCTTCAACAAGTGGGTCAAAATTTGAAATTTTAGGACACTCAAATTATGCAAAATCTGGAAATGCTACATGGTGGCATTTAGAATACGGCACTAAATATGGCTGCAGAAGATATATGGAAATGTGCGAACACAAAACAGAAAAAAAATTTAAGCAGGAATTGAGTTCTAAAGATAGGATAGCAAACTACGTGAACAGGTAAATTAAGACAATGGTCATATTACTTAGCAATTAGCACTAGATAAACCCAGCACACCAAATGCAATTCACTGCATAACTATAGATATATGCCAATATCATTAAGTACAGGCAAAAGAAAGTTACATTGTTCAGGACTCTCAATCTTCCAAGTTGAGGGCCATCCCTGATTCCATGGACATCTAGAGTAATCTCAAAGCGTTCTTCCTCTATTTGTTCCATGTCTTGTTTACAAGCCTTAATCCCTGCACATGGCAATGAGCAAGAATGAATCAGATGCAACTTGTTCCA